CACGCACACACACACACACTCACACACACACACATACACACACAAAAAAGGAATGGACGTCTCAGCGATGGCGAGGGAAGAAGAGGCGGCGGCGGAGCGGCGGAGCGCGGCGGCCGCCAAGACCAGAACGTTTCAGTTGGTAGTCGTCGTCGTCGTGAGGCGGCACCTACCCCCTACCCCCTACCCCTCCGCCTCCTCCCACCCCCTTTTCCCGAGGGAAGGTGCTCGTGTGACCCGTGGAGAGCGTTCGCGTGGCCTGGTGGGTGCTTGTGTGGCCCAGGGTGCTCCGGCGTCCGCAAACCGTCGAGCACGGCAGAGGGGGTTCGGCTGCAGGGGGCGGGCGCGAGGCGGCGGCACCCCAGAAGGGCGACCTGCCACCGCTGACGCCGCGGGACGTGGCGCTGATGCGGCCCGTGCTCGGGATCGGGCGCGGGGGGCTGAAGCAGCCCTCAGCCGCCAGGCCTCCGCGGCCGCCCCTCCTCTCCTCCTCCTCCTCCACCTCCTGCGCCTCCTCCTCCTCCTCCTCCTCTCCTCCTCCTCCTCCTCCCTCTCCTCCTCCTCCTCCTCCTCCTCCCCCTCCTCCTCCTCCTCCTGCGCTTCCCCCTCCTCCCTCTCCTCCTCCTCCTCCTGCTCCTCCCCCTCCTCCTCTCCTCCTCCTCCTCCTCCTCCTCCTCCTCCCCCTCCTCCTCCTCCTCCTCCTCCTCCTCCTCCTCTTCCTCCTGCTCCTCCTCCTCCTCCTCCTCCTCCTCCTCCGCCTCCTCCTCCTCCTCCTCCTCCTCCTCCTCCCTCCTCCCCCTCCCCCTCCTGCGCCTCCTCCTCCTCCACCTCCTCCTCCTCCTCTTCCGCCTCCTCCTCCTCCGCCTCCTCGGGATTTTGGCAGTTTCCGGCCTCGGGGGGCCCTCGCCGGGCCCCGGCTCAGGACGAGCAGCCGCTCCTGGGGAAGTGGTCCAGACCTCCTGGGTCCACGCGCCAAAACAATGGGAGCAGCACTGTCATCGGTTGCGGCACTCGGGGGCCGTTTCCGGTTTCTGGGGTCCTCAAAGTTGAGTCTGGGACGGAGCATTATTCGGGGGCGGCAAAGAGGAGGGTGATGACTAGGGGCGGGGGGATATCATGGCGGTGGCGTCCCTGGCCCCCTCGCTGGGCCGCGCACATGCTTCCGGTCATGATTTGCACCCCCCCTCTTGGGCACCCCCCTCTTGGCCGCTCCCGAATTACGGGAGGGGGTCGGGACTGCTGGGACCACGGATGGAGAAATTCGTGTGGGCGCATGTCTGGAGTGGCGGATTGAAGACATCGGCTCGGCCGCCCGAGGAGGAGGAGGCGGAGGACGACGACGAGGAAGAGGAGGAGGAGGAGGAGGAGGAGGTGGAGGAGGAGGGGGAACCTTCTTTTCTCTCTTCGCCGCTCGGCTTCTTGTTTCTGTTTCTGGCCCCTGAGATCTCTACCGAGAGGTTTTCGGGCCTCTTCAAGGCGTGTGAGAGGCTATCTAGAGCCATCCTGGACGATCACTACCCTGACAAGATTGGAGGCCATCTTGGACCATTTGGGGCCCTCTTGGAGGCATGTTGTGCCACTTGTGCGCTCCAACGGCCCGCGACCCCTCGCCTCCAGACCCATGGAGAGAGGCTCAGGGGAGAGGTATGTAGACCTGCCCCCAAGGGGGAAGATGGAGGCTGGAGCAACGAAATCCTCGCACTACCTACGCCGAGAGGTCTGGCGATATCAAATCTGTTGACGGTACGTTGAGGCTCTGGACTGCCAGGTTCGAGGATCCAGGGCCAGATCTATCTTGGGGCGCGTTCTTGCCAGAATTTCTAGGCGGATCCAGCCGTGGCGTCGAGAAGCCTCCAGGAGGCCCAAGAGTCATGGTTATCCCAGCAAGGCGGTCTGAAAGCAGCGCAGGGCTGAAGAGGCGGTCGAGGAGTAAGAGGTCTGCTGTGAGGAATGGGTGAGAGCACGGCCATGTGCCCCTGATTATCTGTCACAAGCGGTCGTGGCCCTCTGGACCAGACATGCACTTGGGTTTGAGGCGAGAGCACGAGTCGCTGCCTGGGCACGGCGGTCTGGGGCTCCTGGGCCCGTCCCCCTTTGCGGGACTCTTATGTGTGTTTCTTCACATCCTGAGTGGGGTTCTTGTTGTCTCTGGACACCCCGCGCAGTCCTCCTCACAACCCCTCTCCTTTTCATCTCTTCGCACACTCACTCACTCACCCAGCGACTCACATACCACCATTATCATAAGATCATCAGCCTCCTCATCACCACTCACAACACAGAACCACTGACTCAATAGCTCACTCCATAACCTTCAGTCACCATCAACACCATCATCGCCATCACCATCAACCTCGGCATCAGCACAATCACCATCACCATCATCACCATCACTATCACCATCACCAATACTATCAACCTTGGCATCATCACCATCACCATCGCCACCATCATCATTATAACCAGCATCCGCATCGTCATCATCATCACCACCATATTCACAATCATCAGACGGTACTTAATCATCACCATCACCATCTCCACCACCATCACCATCACACATCATCATCGTCATCATCACCGTCTACTATGCGGGAGCCATCATCGCCATCACTGCCGCCACCATCATCACAACCACCATCATCATTACTCACACGCGCAGACATTCATCTTCAGGACGTCTCAAGTGGGAGCCTCGTCCCTGAGTGAATACGGAGGAAGTCTCAGACAGGAGCCCTCTCCCTATTTGGCCCGCAGCTCATGTTACGAATCCGAGCGGGCCATCCACATCCTATAATTATCGTCGCCCTGAGGGTCTTCATGCCTGAACATGGAGGACGTATCAAGCGGTGTCCTCGCCTCTGAGTGAGCTGCGAGGAAGTCTCAGGCGGGAGCCCCCTCCCTTCGGGGCCCGCAGCTCATGTTGTATCTCCGAGCGGGTCGTCCAATTCTTGTAACTGTCGTCTTCTTTTGGGGTCTCTATTCCTAGACGTGGAGGAAGTATCAGGCGGGGGCCTCGTCCCTGAAGGTGGAGGAAGTCTCAGGCAGGCCTATGGGGCCCGCAGCTGATGTTACTAACCCGAGCGGGTTGTCCAATTTCTGGAACTATCGTCATTTTGGGGCCCCCCATGCTGGAGCATGGAGGTATTAAGCGGGTGCCTCGGTGTTGAGAGAGTTGCAAGGAAGTCTCAGGTGGGAGCCCCTTCCCTCTTTGGCCCGCAGCTCATGTTAATCCCAGCGGGCCGTCCAATTCATGCATCCGTCGTCTTTTTAGGGGTCACCATGCCTGAACATGGATGAAGTATCAAGCGGGGGCGTCGTCTCTGAGAGAGTTGTGAGGAACTCCCTGGCGGGAGCCCCCTACCTATGGAGCCCGCAGCGCATGTTATTCATCGGAGCGGGTCATCCAAATCCTGGAACTGCTGTAAATTTGGGGGTCCTCGTGCCTGAAAACGGAGGATTTATCAGGCGGGGCCCCGTCCCTGAGTGAGTTGCGAGGAAGTCTCTGGCGGAAGCCCCTTCCCTATGGGGCCCGCAGCTCACGCTGCTAATCTGAGCGGGTTGTCCAGTTGTTGTAACTGTCGTCGTTCTGGTCCCCATGCCTGAACGTGCAGGAAGTGTCGAGCGGGGGCCTCGTCCCTCAGCGCAGATGGAGGAAGTCTCAGGCAGGCCCATGCAGCCCGCAGCTGATGTTACTAATCCGAGCGTGTCATCAAATTTCTGGAACTGTCGTCACTTTTGGGGGGTCCCCATGCCTGAACATGGAAGAGGTATCAAGCGGGGCCCTCGTCTACTACGCTGGAGCCGTCATCACCATCACTGTCACCACCATCACCACCACCATCGTCATTACTCATACGCGCAAACATTCATCTTCAGGACGTCTCAAGCGGGAGCCTCGTCCCTGAGTGAATACGGAGGAAGTCTCAGACAGGAGCCCTCTCCCTATTTGGCCCGCAGCTCATGTTACGAATCCGAGCGGGCCATCCAAATACTGAAATGTTCGTCGCCCTGGGGGTTTCATGCCTGAACATGGAGGACGTATCAAGCGGGGGCCTCGTCTCTTAGTGAGCTGCGGGGAAGTATCAGGCGGGAGCCCCTGACTCATGGGACCCGCAACTCATGTTATTATCCGAGCGGGTCATCAAATTCATGCATCTGTCGTAACTTGTTGGGTCACCATGCCTGAACATGGATGAGGTATCAAGCGGGGGCGTCGTCTCTGAGCCAGTTGACACGAAGTCTCAGGCGGGACCCCCCTCCATATGGGGCCCGCAGCTCATGTCATTAATCGGAGCGGCCCTCCAATTTTGCTAACTGTCGTCATTCTCGTGCTCCTGAGGTCTGAGCGTTGGGGAAACATGAGGTGGAAACTTCTTCTGTCAGTGAATTGCGGGTAGACTCGTCCGAGCTGGTCGTCAACAAATTTGTTACTCTCATGAGCCCGCGTGCCCGAAATGGCGACAGGAGCTGACGATGACGACGACGACGACGAGACAGCGGCCGGGCGCAGGGGTAACCTCTAGTGCCCGGGCCAGGGATGGTCATCCATCCTCGGCCGAATCGTGGGCAGGGGTAGCCCTTTGTGTCTAGTCCGCCGGTGGTGACCCATCGGCGGCCGAATCGGGCGCATGGGTAGCCCTTTGCGTCCGGCAGTGCCACAGCGACGCGGCTATGCAGAGCGCGTACCCCAAGGCGACCACTGGTGGAGGCGCCGGCGAAGACGGGGGCGCTGAGGCGGGCGAGCCGGGGAGCATCCGGACGCGCCGCCTTCGCCAGCCCGAGCGCCTTCAGCCAGTCCCGACGCGGGGCATTGATGGGGGGCGGGACATGGCGGACGTGCTGAATTTCGCGCGCCGCAAGCGCCTCACGAAGTTGGCCAAGGAGCTCCTCGCGCCCCCGTGCATGTCACAGGCGTCCCACGAGGACGTCGGCGCGGCCGCGCCGACGGATGCCGCGGTCGGTCCCGCGCTCGCGGCCGAGTACCGACCGCTGGTGACCTGCGGCGCGCGAGAAGAAACATTCTTGGGCGACCTTGCATGACCTCCGCTTCCAGGCCAATCGCGACGACGATGACGCGGCCGTCGACGACGGAGCGGGCGAGGGCGCCAGCGGTCTGGGCACCGCACCCGCTGCGGCCAGGTTCGACTGCAGCGTGCACTCCGCGCCCAGCGCGCACATCGCCGCCCTGGTCGTTGATTGTTGGTGGAGACGTCTCTCGTCGCCAAGTTCACCAAGGGCTGCGACGAAGCGGGGGGGGGGGGGGGGCGACGTGCAGCATAAGCCTTTTTGCAAGAGAAAGGTGACGCACTTGCTCTTGCTGTGCCAGGGCGGTGCAGAAGGTCGTCTTCCCAGTCGCAGCGTATTTGTGGCCTTCGCGGGGCCTGTTCCAGGCCGGTGCGATGGTCGTTGCCTGCGCTGCGCAACGCCTGTGCCATGCGAGCCCAGAAGCGCATCAATGCGAGGCTGAGGCCGGGGGGCACGCAGAAGAGCTTGAAATGGTTGTGGGGGTACGTCCGCGTGCTTGCCATCGAGGAGATAAGCGTGGTGGCGGCCGCACTGCACGACGCGCTGGACCTCTGCGCGTGCCGCGGGCGCAGTGACTCGCGCGACGTGCAGGGGCCCACCTGCGCGCGACCGCGCCACCACTTCGGGCGCGTCCCCATTGCGTTGCATGTCTATGTTTTTTTCCAGCTGAAGCCAAATCACACCGTCGGCCACCTGACGGACGCGAGCGAGCTCCTGGACGACGGGTCGCGCAAGTATGCGGGACCGCCGACGGTGGAGATCCATCTCGCAGATCCGCTAACGCGCGAAATGCTGCCTTCCACGCCAGAGGTCTGGTCTGCGTGAGAAAAGACGCCCGCCTCGGACAACCGCGGCGTCCTGGGCCATTTCGGCTCGGTTACGGCGCGGGCATCTACTGGGAGACGCTGGCGAGGTGGATCAACGCGCGCACTCGTCGCGGCGCGCAGCGTCTGTGCGCGCGTCTCGTTGCTTTGCAGGACGTGGACGGGCGCAGCGCGATTCGGGGTGACCCCGACGCGGGCCGGCGCCTGCTGAGCGCGCCGAACGCGCGCGAGACGGGCGACATCTATCGCGCTTCGCCGGCCCACGTCGGCATGGATGCGCGGTTCGCGGCAACGCAGGAAGAGCTGAAGATGATGCCTGGGCTCGCGCAGGAGCAACGGGCCGGTATCGCATTCGGGGAAGCCCCGTATGGGGCCACGAAGCGTTGTACTGGGCGGGGGGGGGGGACGCATGCGACTGTCCACTGGGACCTTCGGTGGAGCTCCCTATGCGGCCACGAAACGCTGCCCTGGGTGGGGGAACCGCATGCGAACTGCGCCACTGGACCTTCGCTGGAGGCTCTCTATGGGGCCACGAAGCGCTGCACTGGGGTGGGGAGGACGCATGCGAACTGCGCCATGGGACCTTCGGTGGAGCTCCCTATGGGCCACGCCGCTGCCCGGTGGGGGGGGGACGCATGCGGGTGCGCCCACTGGGGCCTTCGGTGGAGGCTACCCTGGGGGCCACGAAGCGCTGCCGTGGGTGTGGGGGGTTGTGGGGGGGCGCTCCCTGCGCCACTGGGGCCTTCGTGGAGCGCCCTATGGCGCCACGAAACGCTGCCCTGGGTGGGGGAACCGCATGCGAACACCCCCACTGGGGCCTTCGGTGGAGCTCCCTATGGGGCTACGAAGCGCTGCCCTGGGTGGGGGAACCGCATGCGAACACCCCCACTGGGGCCTTCGGTGGAGCTCCCTATGGGGCCACGAAACGCTGCCCTGGGTGGGGGAACCGCATGCGAACACCCCCACTGGGGCCTTCGGTGGAGCTCCCTATGGGGCTACGAAACGCTGCCCTGGGTGGGGGAACCGCATGCGGGCTGTGCCACTGGGACCTTCGGTGGAGCTCCCTATGGGGCTACGAAACGCTGCCCTGGGTGGGGGAACCGCATGCGGGCTGTGCCACTGGGACCTTCGGTGGAGCTCCCTATGGGGCTACGAAACGCTGCCCTGGGTGGGGGAACCGCATGCGGGCTGTGCCACTGGGACCTTCGGTGGAGCTCCCTATGGGGCCACGAAACGACTGCGGTGCCACTGGGTGGTGGAGCTCCCTATGGGGCGCTGCCCTGGGTGGGGGAACCGCATGCGAGGCAGCCACTGGGGCCTTCGGTGGAGCTCCCTATGGGGCTACGAAACGCTGCCCTGGGTGGGGGAACCGCATGTGCCTTCGGTGGAGGGGCTATGGGGCCACTCCTTCGGTGGAGCTCCCTATGGGGCCACGAAACGCTGCCCTGGGTGGGGGAACCGCATGCGGGCACCCCCACTGGGGCCTTCGGTGGAGCTCCCTATGGGGCCACGAAACGCTGCCCTGGGTGGGGGAACCGCATGCGGGCTGTGCCACTGGGGCCTTCGGTGGAGCTCCCTATGGGGCCACGAAACGCTGCCCTGGGTGGGGGAACCGCATGCGGGCTGTGCCACTGGGACCTTCGGTGGAGCTCCCTATGGGGCTACGAAACGCTGCCCTGGGTGGGGGAACCGCATGCGGGCTGTGCCACTGGGACCTTCGGTGGAGCTCCCTATGGGGCTACGAAACGTGTGAGGGGTGTGCCGAGAGCAGAGGCAAGGAGGGCGAGGAGGGAGGAGGGCGAGGAGGGGGAGGAGGAGGAGAGGAGGTGGGATGCGGTGCGCTGTCTCTTCAAAACGAGGACCCAACACCACAGGATGGTTGGGCAAGAGAACCCAGGTAGCCTTTGAGGGCCCCAAGTCGTTGAATACCTAAAGGGAATTCATGATTTCTGCGTTTCTGCACTTCCCCTTCTTTACGATTCCGAGGCTTGAGCAGGGCCTCCAAGGGAGTCCCTGGATGCAAGAAGCGACCAAAATGATATTCCATGAGTTAGCCTATCAAGCCTAGCTAGAACTTGTTGAACTTGAGCGCGCGCGAAGCGCGCGATGAGCCACATAGATTGCACAACGCTGACCGCACCACAGACATTGGACTACATCGGTTGGTCCCCATCAACTGTAGAACGCACGCGGCTAAAATGCACGGCTTGGGGTCCACGTTTGCTCACGTTGTGCTCATATCAGGACCCGTTCGCGCAGCGCCATTGGGCACGGGGACCGCCAGGGAGGGCCGCCGTTGTCTCGGTTGGCCCCTCTCCGGAAGAGGCCTCGGGCGTCGACCCCCGTTTGCCCGAAGCGAGTCAAAGTCGCCCGCTGCGCAGACGAAATCCGATCCTCGAAGTTTGAGATTCGATCTTCGACCCGCGAGGTTCGAAGATGGACATCCTCGATGCTCTGGAGGCTCATGAAGAGCCCTCTTGCCCGTCCATTACCAGCTTCTTGTCCATCCGTTCCTCAATGTATCTTGCAAGTTACGGGCCGTGGCAGGCTCAGCCGACGGATTGTCCAGCCGCATCCCCCACAGCAGTATTCAACCTGCCTGTGCAGTTAGTGTCTTCCTGTGAGCGGCTTGAATAAGGAACGCTCACTTCTCAACAGGGGCTCGGTCGTCCCTGAGGTTCGCGTGCGTTATTTATCTTTCCTTATGCGCCATGTATCATATAGAGCGCTCCTTATGCGTTACCCCTTGGGAAGAAGGGGCGTCGTTCCTTATTTATCGTTCCTTGGGCCAGGCCGATGACTGGAGGCTCTGCGAAAAAAAAGGCCTCGAACCTTCACCCTCGGCCCCCGCCAGTCCGGCAGGCCGCACAAGAGGCCGTCGCCAGAGCCGTCGCTGCTGGCCGCGAGGGCGCTCGACGAGCTGCCGGGCGAGGACGCCGCCGCCGTCGACGGCATTCCGCGCCGTCGACGATTTTCCACGCCTTCGTCGGCCTCTCCAGGTGTTCGGAGGAGGAGAAGCCACCAATACCGCCACTGATCCCGAGCCTTTCGGGAGGCCGTCGTCGCCACTGCAGGGTTCGCCTCGAGATCCATGGCAGAACGCACGCCGGGAGAGGTGCACGGAGCAACGGGCTGGGGAGCTGCCCTGACTTCGGATCCGTCGTGTTTGGGAAATGCACCCCGAACGATGCAAAAGCAGGCAGGGCGGAAATTCCCGCCCCGGGAAAGCAGGACGCATATTCCCGCAACGGTGAACACCGAGCGACGGCAAAGTAGGGCGGAAATCAGCATCAACAGAACTTGAAAAGTAGGACAGAAATTTCCGCATTACTGAAAACATCGCCAACATCACGCTCGGACGGGGTATGACGAGGATAAATCCGTTCCAGAGCGTTCCGGAACGCACTCAGAGCACTCAGAGCGTTCCGGAGCATGTTGACAAGGCCGCGACGCCCGGTACATGCTCCAGCACCGCCCGATTTCAGAGATCTTCGAGTTATCCTCACCCGATTTGATCCTCGTCTTGGCTTCGTCTTGAAAGGCCAGATCGGGTTAACGAAGGTCAGACTGTGTACATGAAAATTGATCGGCGCAAACACATTGTCGGAGATGCGCGCGGACTTCCTGGGCCTGCGCTGGATCCCCCAGAGGAGCGCCTCCGGCCCAGCCCTGGGCGATCACCCGCGCGCCAGGGATGGGGTGGAACCAGCGCCGACCCAGGGATCGCTTCGGTTCCTCCGGTTCGATTCGATTCGATTTCGATGGCTTCCGATTCCGATTTTAGTGGCCTTCGGCCAGTGCCGCCGATCCGGAGCGCTCCGACTGATGTGATCCTCCTTCGCCCTCGTCCCTCCTCTCTTTTCCCTTCCTTGTCCCTCTCATTCCGCATTTATCCAGTGGCCTTCGGTCTATCCCACCACCGTGTGTGGGTGGTGGGTCAGAGGCCTCATGGACGCTGGTTGGGATCTCGTGGTTGGCTGGGACTTCTGGGGGCCTCTTGGGGGCCTCTTGGGGCTTCTTGGGGGCCTCTTGGGCCTCTTGGGGCCACTTGGGGGCCTCTTGGGGGTCTCTTGGGAGTCTCTTGGGGCTTATTGGGGGCCTCTTCTGGGCCCCTTGGGGCCTCTTGGAGGCTTCTTCGGAGCCTCTTGGTGCGGGAGGGGTGGCACTCGAGTTCGGACCCCCCTCGGAGGCCACGATCCTTGTGAGGGGTGTCAAAAAACGCATCCGCCGGAAACTCGCACCCCCCCCCCCACCCCCCCTTCCCCGGCAGAGCCACCCCGGCAACCCCCCCAGAGGCTGAGGCTCAGCCTCGAAGCTGTAGCTGAGACTCCTTGAAACTCACACGCCGGATCGGCGGATTTGATTCGATTTTGGATTCCGATTTGGACTCCGATGTCCCAATGGAGGCCTACTAGCATGCCGATCTCCGCCGATCCGACTTCTCCCGATTCGGCTGCCGATCTCCGCCGATCCGATTCGTTTCGATCGCCGATCCGACTCATCGATTCGATTCTGGATTCTCCTGACGACCCAGGAATTCCGTGCGGACGTCTGAATGTTTCTGTGTTGACGCTATGTTCCGATTTCTGAGGTGGCCCAGCATTGGTTTTCGACGTCTGGTGGCCGCTCTCGGGGCCCGGGGCCGCCAGGAGTCGATCCTGAGCGAAAAGCTGACTCGGATGGATCTTGGGAGGGAGGGGCTCGTGGAGTGCCTCGGCGAGGACGGCGCCGCTGACGACGCTCGAGAAGGTTTTTTGCCACCTGGGCCTCCCCTGAGAACCTGGCGTCGCATTTTTCCACAACGGGTAATTCTGCCTTGTTTCAGACCGCATCACTGGGTCAATATGGTAAGAACAAATGCGGCAGAAAGGCTGGGTCCAGGGCTCCGGTTGACTTGGTTTACGTTTTGTTGTATGTTGTTTTTTGTGTGACGTCGGATCTCAAGGAAGTTCCCAAGAGGTTGTCGGTGAATTGCGCCCCCGCGTTTGTGAAATTTTCTTTCCATGCGATGTCCTTTGCTCCAGACGTTTCCTTTTTCCCGTGCTCCGGCGTTCGTCCGCCGTCTCCTCTTCCGCTGCCGCCGCCGCTTCTTCCCTCCTTCGCTTCTGCCGCCTCTTCATTTCCTTGCACGTCCAGTTTGGCCCAGCATTTCATTTCCGCACCGCGTGCTGTACCGCAGGCCTGTGCTCCAGTCTCGTGCCCTTTTGAAAAATGTTTGTCCAAGGCTGTCTTCGTTAGTCCTCCCCCGAATTTGCGTTGGGCACCAGTGCGAGTCCCACCAGTTTGAACCAGTATGGGGTACGCACGCGCGAGTTTACATTGAACTCGCGATCTCATTGAGGAGGCATCGACACGATGGACGCCAGAATCTTCCTATTACAGCCAGCATTTTCCTCATGCGTTGACTCGGCTCGTGCGTTTTCGCCAGTAGTCGCAGACAACACCGAGTGAGAAGTGTGGGGCATCGCTGTGTGACGGTTCGCGTCCTCTTCTTTGCCCTCCCTGCCTTTCTCCATGATAGTTGCATTGGGGGTTAGCATCCCCACACTATGGGCGCGAACGGGGGAGTTAAACCATCCCTGACGGATCCCCAGGGGTGTTGAATCCAGCAAAACGGTTCAGACATACTCACAAGTTGTCCCGGAAGCACCGAAGTCCAAGCCACCAACCAAGCAGACCGCCTGAGACATCCCAACATGTGGCCGTGAACGGGGGAGTGAAACCTGCCGGTTTCCCTTGGGGGTGTTGAAACAAGCGCATTTGTTGAAACATCCGCGCAGTCTTCGAGTCTGATGACTGCACTGCAAGTGCATCGCGCATCCAGGTGCGAGTGAGGCTGATTGCGGGCGAGTCTGAGTGCTAGTGGGTCTGATTAGGAATGAGTTTGTATGAGTAAGTCTGAGCATGAGTGGATCTGCGTATGATTGAGTCGGAATATCAGTGAGTCGGAGTGTGAGTGAGTTCAGTATGTGAATGTCTGAGTGTGAGTGAGAATGTGTATAAGTGACCGAGAGTGTCTGTGAGTCTCAGTGTGAAGAAAATCATGAGGAGGAAGATGACAAGGGGATCGGCGGTGTCGAAGTTGTTACAATCATCCACTCATACGATATCGGAGATTCTCAGTGGATGCCAGGGTCCTCCGATCTAGGCCTCCCAGATGGGTCCGAGAAGATACGGTCGGAGGATCGCGCCGCATCGCCGATGCATCGCCGATGCGTTTGGATGTTGAGACCGGATTTTCCCACGCCGACCGCGCCGATGCATCGCCGATATCTCAGGTGCATCGTTAGCGCATCGCCGACGCATCGGCGATGCGGTGCGATCCTCCGACCCCATCTGATCGGAGGTAGCCGCCACCTGCCGAAGTTTCCGAGCGTTGATCCCCAGGTGTCTAGGCCTCCTAGAAGGGGTCGGAGGATCGCGCCGCATCCGCGATGCATCGCCGCTGCGGCTCGATGTAGAGCCCGATTTGCTTCACGTCGATGTCGCCGATGCATCGCCCACGTCGACGATGCATCGCCGGTGCATCGCCGGTGCATCGCCGATGCATCGCCGATGGACGATGTATCGGCGATGCGGCTCGATCCTTAGACCCCATCTACTCCGACCCCATCGAGGCGGCCTCTGAGGTGGTGGCTCTGCGACGGAGGCCCCGCTCAGAATCTGTGGTCGTCGGCGCTCGGCGGTCCCTCGGCGCCGCCGGCATGCTCTGTGTCCGCGCGCGGCTGCAGAGGTCCCGTCCTGGTCCATTCCCCGAGGGTGCTTCTGCGCGACGAACGGAAAACTAGGGGGCCACATGCGAACCCTACCCCTACCCCCCACGATTTCGGAGGGGGGGGGTTCACGTCGTTCGGGAGCTTCCGAGCGAAGTGAACCCCACCCTCCCCCTCCGAAGTCGTGGGGGGTAGGGGTAGGGTTCGCATGTGGCCCCCTGAAAACGGCACGACCGTCGTTTCTCGAAGCTTCGCGCGCATAGTCTGGATCGGCGGCGGGCCCCCCTGATGGGGCTCCCGGCGCCGCCCCTCGCGCGCTCCGCGTGCCAGGGATCGGCACGATCAATGTTTTGGTACGGAAGGAATTCAGGAGGAACAAAAACACAGACACAATTAATCGTCGATTCCCTTGAAAGTATGGGAAAGTACGGGAAGTGAGTACGGGAAGTGGGGTAGGGGAACAAAAAGTGACATAAACATAAAAACTCGGAGGTCCGCGCGGATTTCTCGGATCGGCGCTGGACCCCCCTCCCTGGCGCGCTCCGCGCGCCAGGGGCGGCGCCGGAGGCGCCGCCAGGAGAGCCCCAGCGCCGATCCAAGAAATCCGCGCGGAGCTCCGAGTTTTTATGTCTATGTCATTGTTCGTTCCCCTATGAGGGGAATACAACAACCCAGAAAATATGGGAAAATATTTCAGGGCTTCCTTCCGCAGGGACATTTGGGAAGACGCGGCGCCTGCTGCTGGGCTGGGCCCCTGGGCAGCCTCCCCAGACCCAGCCCACGCCCAGCAGGACGCCCTGAGCTGCCGCATCGACGACGGGGTGGGCCGGCGGGGAGAGCCGCGCAGCTGAGCGCTGCGGAGCTGCAACATTAGGGTAATAACAAGTGGCATGAACATGAGAACTCGGAGGTCCGCGTGGATTTCTCGGCTCGGCGCTGGGGCCCCCTGGCGGCGCCTCCGGCGCCGCCCCTGGCGCGCTCCGCGCGCCAGGGAGTGGGGTCCAGCGCGGTTCCGAGAAATCCGCGCGGACCTCCGAGTTCTTATGTTTATGTCATTCTTCGTTCCCCTAAACAGGCCTGGCGCGTGTGCGCCCGACGGAGGGCAACGCTTCCTGTGGCCTGACGGAAGGCAGCGCGCCCTCGCACCGCCAGCCCGCCACGGAGCGACGGCTGACAGACGACGGACAGACCGACAGGCCGACGGACCGACGGACAGACCGACGGAACCGCCGTTCCAGAAAGGAGCACCACTCAAGCAGTGGCGAAGCATCCTGGCGTGCCTATAGGCCTACAAAACAATGCTCTGGGCTGCCCTGTTTCATCACATCGGGTTTATGTTCTGAGAACATGGCTCTTGTTCTCGGAACATCTTCGGGTCCTAAGAACGTGTCGTGGTAGGCCTATAGGAATGCCAGGACGGTCGGTGCCTGCTCGAACCAGGGCGAGCGAACGCGCGCCAAACACGCAGCAGTCTCGCACGAGGCAAAACGAGTGTCCCAGCACATCCGCTCGCGGCCCACGCCGCACAGTGCAGGGGAAGCGGCAAGGGCCAACAGCGCGGCCGGGGAGGGCAAAAGCGGAGGACGTTTCCTGCCGCTTGCGCTATTTATTCTCGCGCTGGAAAAAGCGCTTCGCGTTTTCGCGCTGAGAAAATATCGCGAGCTTTCCCTCCGCAGGAACATCGGGAAGACGTGACGCTGAGAACGCTTCGTGTTTTCACGCTATGAAGCATTGGGGAGACGCGCCGCCTGCACTAATTTCACGCGAGCTGGAAACACGCTTCGCGTATTTCCGCGCTGGGCAAATATGGGGGATCCTGTTACTTGTGTCAAGTCGGGCCTGTCCCCTTACAGGGGGAAGATTCCAAAATGGTCGAAACATAGCCAGGGGGCGATGTGTTTACTATTCTTGCCCACTTGGGGGGCATCTGTCGAGTATTCTTTATTTTTCGACCAAAGTCCCCCTGTAGGAGGACATGCCCGACTTAGTACTTGTGTCTATTTGCTTGTGTGTCCCAGGGCCCCTTCAAGACAGGAGTTCTTCTCCATTCTGAGCAGGACTCGCTGTCCGCGCCGCCGCGGACGCTGCCCAACACCAGCCGCTGTCGGTTTGGGAGAGCCTCTGTTGCTGGGCATCGTGCCCATGTCGGTCGTCCGAAAGGACGGGGATCCAGCTCCTATTCAAGGAATCCGCGCGGACCTCCAGTAATAATCTATGTTTATTGGATCGTTTCGCTCATGCCGCTGGCCCTGGAGCCCTCTTTAGGGCCTCTTGGGGGGCTCTTGGGGACCTCTTGGGAGTCTCTTGGGGCTCCTTGGCGGCGTCTTGGGGGCCCCCAGGGCCTCTTGGGGGGCTCTTGGGGGCCTCTTGGAGCGGGGGAGGGGTAGTCGATTGCGGCTCCCCCCTCGGAGGCCACGATCCTCGTGAAGGGTGTCGAAAAATGACCATCCCCTGGAGTGCTCTGGTGGCTTCTCCCGGGACCTTGCCGGGGTACTTTTCGTCGGGGGGCCCCCAGGGTCCGCCCCGCGCGCGGAGATCTTAGCACGCTTGTGGCCTGTTGGGCCGGCGAATTGAACACTTGTTCTTCTGGACGCATTCCCCGAAGGTAGCTTACGCCCCCAGCTCCGTTCCTGATGCCCCCAAGGCCTGACAAAACGGGCGCCCGAGGACCGAAGTGGAGGACGAACCGCTGGGACAGAAAGCATCAGATCGTCAGAGGTTTGGGGCCGCCGCCGCCGAGCCCCTCGCCCATAATCCAACTTTTGTTTCTCCTGAAAGGGAGGAAAACCACCCCAACCCCGACAATTCGCGGTTGCTACGCGGCCTCGGGCGTCATTGCAAATCCTTGTCCTGCTCCATTCCTTCCCCGGGTGTGTTCACGAACGGCTTCGCCTGTCGGCGTGCTTCTTATGGTGGCAATTGTCATTCTCCTCTATGCTTGAGGACGGGCACGGGGCCCCGTGAGGGCCCCCGGCGGCCGAAGATGAGCAAACCTTTTCGTCGTGGCCTTTTCCCCAGGAGGTCTAGGCTCGCCGCCACCGCCGTCGTCGCCGCCGCCGCCGCGGAGCATCCGCTGCGAGGACGCCGCCAATCGCGGGGCCGCCGCCGCCGTCGCCGTCGCCGTCGCCGTCGCCGTCGTCGCCGTCGTCGTCGTAGTCGTCCTCGGCGTCGAGTCGTCGTCGGAATCAGTGTCGTCGCCGTCGACGTCGGCGTCGGCGTCGGCGCCGTCGTGTGCGGCGAGCGGCCTATGGCGCGAGGACGCCGTGCTCGAGGGGCTCGCGGCGGGCCTCCGGCGGCTGGCCGCGGGCAGGCCGGCGGACCTCGCCGCCTTGGAGGCGCGCCCGGGGCGCCGCCGACGAAGCAGACCCTTTCGATGTCTGCTCGTGGGAGCCGTGGGCGGCCACAGCCGACACCAAGGACGCTCTACTCTGTGGGGCACGGCCACGGCCCCAGGTGAGGGGAGCCCGTTAGTGATAGGGCCCCGAAGACCAACAGAAATGGGCTGGGATGACTAAACTAGGTCTGCCGTGGCTTGTGTTTTTCAGGGTGACGGCAGTCCCGGATAGTGGAACGGGACGGGGGGGGGGGTTCCCCAGTACATATCACTAAACCAGGTCTCATTGAACCCAGTCCTGCCAACGCCCGATTCTGTCGAGGCTCACGAGGCGGGGGTCAATGCAAACAGAGGTCAGCCAGAGCGCCAGATCTTGCAGGATCTTGCAGGGCCAGGGTCGCAATAACCCGGGCTTTAGTGCAGGATCCTGCAGGATGTTACAGGATCTTTCGCGTTGACCCGGGCTTGGGTGCAGGATCTTGCAGGATTCTGCAAGGCTTGACTGACCCAGGTTTGGATTGACCCGGGTCAGAGGATCCCCGATAATGTTGCTTCCTCCTCTTCTGATTGTGTATGTGAGCGACGCCAAAAAAAACAAACGGGGTCGTGTGTGTCTAGCGCGCCGCTAACGAAGCAGACCCTTTCGACGTCTGTCCATTGGAGCCTTGGGCGGCGACAGTTGGACCGCATGTGGCCCTACCTCCTGCCTTAGTGGGCCCTGGAAACCACAGGGTCGTTTTTGTTACCAGTTGCTTTTCGCCGTGTTTATTACCAGTTCTGGCGTCGTTTGTTCCTTTTTTCTCCGGTTCAGTTGCCGTTGATGCCGTCTCTTGGTCCGGCTCCAATTCCGGAGCCGTTGTTTTGCCGTTTCCGGTTGCCGCTTCTATTTTCAAAGAAACACGTTTCGGAAACCGTGACAAAGTGGCCTTTCCGTTTCCGGGCCCCTCTAGGCCAGAGAAGGAGAAGGAAGGGGTGGAGGAGGAGGGAGGAGGAGGAGGAAGGGGTGGAGGAGGAGGGAGGAGGAGGAGGAGGAGGAGGCTTTGCTGGGGTATCTTCTGGGCGGGGCTAGGACGGGGATAATCCGTTCTAGAGCGTTCTGGATCGTTCTCGGAGCGTGCCAGAACGCTTTGAGGAGGCCGCGGCGCCCGAAACATCCTCCATAACCGCTGGATTCCAGCGATATTCGACTCACCCCCACCCGATTTTATCCTTGTCCTGGCTTCGTCTTTTCGGCGGCGAGCCCGGGGTTGAAGTGAGAATTGGCGGGCCTTGTCAGAGAGCCGGGAAGTCCCCATACTTAGACACAGCTAACCTCTTAGAAGGCCCGAGGATTTCTGAGAAACCCCACCGCCTCTGAAAAGGCCTTTTTATTTTCACGTCCACCCCTCGCTCGCCGCCGAGAGGAGGAGGGGGTGGCAGGAGTAGTTGGAACAGCCGCAGGAGCATACCTGGCAGGGGGCGAAGCAACAGGAAGGGTGAAGGGAGCAGGAACAGCAGGAGGGGTGCTGCATCGGTTGGAGGGCTGGAGGAGGACAAGGAGGAGGAGGAGGTGAGGAAGAGGAGGAGGAGGAGGAGGAGGAGGAGGAGGAGGAGGAGGAGGACAAGGAGGAGGAGGAGCAAGAGGACCCACCCTCGTTGGCCGCTGATTTTAATCTTATTTCCACAACGCGAGGGGGCCTCGCCGACCCCGAGGCGCTCGCCGCCGCGGGCGCCGCCGCGGCGCCCGGCTGCCTCCGCACCGCCCGGGCTCTGCAGCGCCGACTGTCCCCGGCGGGGCCCGCCGCCGCGCCGGCCGCGGCCGGCGCGGCCGGCGCGGAGGGCGGCGGCGCGGAGGCGGCCGGGCCACGACCGACGTTGGGCGACGACGCGACGTGAGTGCATCGAGGCCCGAGGCTGACGGCTTGAGGGCTCGACGTCCCGAGGTGAATGCAGCGAGGCCCGAGGCCCGAGGCCGACGATGCTCAAATCCGCGGACGACGACGACGACGACGACGACGACGGCGACGGCGACGGCGACGGCAACGGCGACGGCGACGGCGACGGCGACGACGACGACGAGGACGACGACGGACGACGGGCGACGGACGACGGACGACGGACGACGGGCGACGGGCGATGGACGACGGACGACGGACGTCCCAGTTTCGTCTGCGCCGACATGGGAGCGTAAGTTGCCCGCGTATGGTCGCGCGTAAGCGCCCTCGCTTCGAATGCGGCGTGCCGCGCTGGCGGCCCGCGTCAGCCGACGCGTATTTAAGGTCGCCATGCCACCTCGCGCAAGACCTCGACCTAGAAGTCACGCTCGCGTGAACGCGTTGGCGCCTCGAACCTCGACCCAGAAATCATACGGGGCATAGTGGCATGTTTTTAGCCCTTAGGGTCGAATAGCTATGCACCGTAGCCGTGACGCCGACGGCGGAGGGCGAGTCCAGATGCCGAGGATGAAATGTACCAATCAGTTCGGTTGCCCTTGTCACTTTTTCGCTTTGGGGGGCCTCCTGGCAGGCCCTCATCGCCACGGCTGGATTCGGCTCGATGTTTTGGTCAGGTTGCACCCTGGGGGGGGGCCTGGGGAGTAGCGGTATCGGCATCTCTTGGCTACCCAAAGACAGTTGCAGCCACGGCGCCGACGGCGGATCAGCAGGTTCCGCTGGCGGCCGACGATGCTCAGATGAGGGCGAGTTCCCAGACATGCAGCGCCCTGCAGCAAAAACACAGGACGCAAGTTGTGCTGTGTTTTCGGCCTCTGGGGACCCTCGTTGGGGCCGTGGGACCGCCGCAAACAAGAAACTCAGGATGACCAGTGTCCATGGAAGGGCCGCTGCTGGAGACGTATCGAACAAATCAGGACATGGCATGCCGGGGTTGAGACCACGTCAGTCACGACGCCTACGGCGGCGTTTCAGGCTCCGACAGCGGCGGCGGCGCGGGCCGCGGCTGTGGCGTCCTCGTCATTTTGCTCCTCCCATTTCCTGCTCCATCCTCCCTTCTCCCTCCTCTTTCCTCCTCCTCCTCCTTCTCCTCCTCTCCTCTCCTCTCGGTCACGTAGTCGATGTCCGCGTCGAGGTGCTCGAGGGCGAGGACGAAGGCGTAAATCTCCCCTCGCGGGACCGTCTGCCGCCGCCCCGGGCGACCACATGCCGTTGCTCAACGCGTGGCAGCGGCAGCGCTGGCTGCACCTCGGCGCGGGCAAGAACAGCGACCTCTGGGCGCGAATCGGCAGGGCGTTGGCGGCGAAGCCCACCAGGAGGGTCACGGTCTCCTGGACCCCCTCGCACCAGGAGGACGACGGCGAACCGATCGTCTCGAACTTCCTCGCCACGGGTAACTGCTGCGCCGACAGGCTCGCCTACCTCGGGGCCGTTTTCGCCGCGAGCGGCGCCAGCGCGAGCGCCCCCCACGCGGACCGCTGGGACGTCATCGCGTCGCAGGTCAGACGCAGGGCCAGACAGGCCTTGCTGGACGCCGCTGGAGGTGACCCATGGCTTACGGAGAGGCCAGCGGCGGAGCAGGTGGCCCGCCTGTCGCCCCTCCAGGACGCCATCGACACCTCCGCCCACCAGATCGTCGCACTCGGCCAGGGCAAGTGGAAGTGCCTCCTCTGCCGCCAGGTCTTCGCCTCCGCCTCGCTGCTGGAGGCGGGCCGCGCACCTTGCGACGCCACGGCGGCGGACTGGGCCACGTTCGACCACGTCCGCAGGGTCCAGCCAGGCAACGCCGTCTGCATGGGCACAGGGGCCGCCCACGAGTCGCACCGCCTCTACGAGGAGGCCACCGACAATTCCACGGCGGGCCAGATCGAGGCAGTCATCGGAATCCTCCACGGCCAGGCCATCCAGGCTGCGCAGCGGCCCTCGCGCAGGCAGGTCAGCGAGCCAGGTGGGCCCCCGGCCGCGACCAGGCGGAGGAGGCGGGCGGCCTCAGCCCCGGGAGGCGCCGACATCAACGGCACGGGCCTTGGAGCGGCCGCCCCAACGGAGGCCAAGAGGGCTCCTGGGAGCGGCCACCCGCGGCGGCAGCGGCCCGCCACACAGGCACAGACGCAGGGCTCGCAGGTGGGCGCGCCGACGGCAGCGGCAGGAGGCCCCCTCGGCCCCCGCCTATGGCTCCCCGACTACACGTCGCCGGCCTCGGGCGCCGTTGTCCTGTTCTGCAACGCGGCCACTTGCGCGCCAGGTCGCCGCCGCCCACCCGCGGAAGCCACAGGCACCAGGGAGCCCAGCCCGCCCCCCCGCAGCGCCGCGCCCCCCGCCTTGGGCCCCAGACCTGCCCAGCCGCCCGCGAACGAGCGTACCTTCGGCCAGAAGGTCGCGTACCTCCTCGGAGCAGCTCGCCGCAGTCTTGCGGGGGAAGGCCCACAGGACGACGCAGGCCCGAGCCCCACCGCTGCACCGGAGGCCGGCGACCGCCCCTGCCTGGCTGCAGGGCAGGCCGCCGGGGCCGACGGGCGGGCTGCCAGGGCGCACTCGGGCGCCGCCGAGTTTGGGTTGCCGGGCCGCTCCTCTGGCAACCGCCCCTGCCAGGCTGCGGGGCAAGGCGCCCAGGCGCTTTCGGCGGGCGCCGCCGTCCTGGGGTTGCCGGACCGCTCCTCCGGCAACCGCCCCAGCCAGGCTGGAGGGCAGGCCGCTGGGGCCGATGGGCGGGCTGCCGGGCCGCTCGCGGACGCCGCCGAGCTTGGGTTGCCGGACCGCTCCTCCGGCAACCGCCCCTGCCAGGCTTCGCAGGGCCCCGCCGAGGCCGTGGGCCGAAGGCCACGTGGCGGCCGCTCGCCGAGCCCCAACCGCGCGGCCGCGCCCTGCGGCACGCCCGCGTCGCCCGCGCCCGTGGCCGACGGCGCGCCCGCCGGCGCCCGCGACAGCAGTGCGAAGGAGGATCCGCAGCAAGACGGCCCGGCCGTCGGCCAGCGGCGGCAGCGGCGGCGCCCCCAGCACCCCTGCTGCCATGTCGGGCGCGGGCGTGAGGCAGAGCGGGCAGGCGGACGCGCCACTGGCGCCGCCGGCGTGGCCAGACGGCGGGGAAGTGCCGCCAGTGCGGCGCCCCGCGGGGCCGTCGTCGCGGCTGGGTGGACCCTGCAGCCCCCACCAGCCAGCAGACGACGGCGAGGAGGCGACGGACACGGCGTCGCCGTCGCCGGCGCGGGCGTCGGGCGCGCGCGGGGGGCCGCGCGGGCCGAGCGGGCCGTGAGCCCTGACCGAACTTCTGGTGGCCTTCGGCGTCGTCCAGCGTGCTGGACGGCGCCGTGGGTTTCCTTTGAAGCTGCCCCATCCATCCATCCTCTCCTCTCCTCTCCTCTCCATGTCCTCCTCCTCCTCCTCCTCCTCCTCCTCCTCCTCCTCCTCCGTCTTCCTCATCCTACTCCTCCCTCCTCCGCCCCCTCCCTCCTGTTTCCCCTCCCTCTTGCTCCTCCCTTCTCCTCCCTCCTCCTCCTCCTCCCTCTCCTCCTCCTCCTCCACTCCTCCTACTCCTCACTCCTCCTCCCCTCCTCCTCCCACTCATTCCTCGTCATCATTCCTCCTCCACCTCCTCCTCCTCCTCCTCCTCCTCCTCCTCCTCCTCCTCCTCCTCCTCCTCCTCCTCCTCCCAAGCCCAGTTCACACATCCCCGAGATCTGATGTACATGCCTTTCTGCATGTTTTTTACAGATAGCTACGCCTCCTTCAAGAAGAAGTTGGACTGATTATGCAGGCCTTGTCTTGGGCTCGCACAGAGGCCCGCGACGGTGCTGACACCCCCACTTGCAGAATGCTGGCATTTGGGATGCCATTTTGCGCAGGTTGCGTGCCACAGGTAACGTTGGTTTTGACGTGGCAGTTAGGCATGTTCGGATGCAACTCCTGGGAGGTCAAATTCTGATTTAGCCCTGGTCCGAACTCCGGTTTAGTCCGGCTTATCCCGCTTAAGCCCGCTTAATCCGGCTTCATCCCGCTTAATCTGGCTTAGCCCCACTTGATCCGAGGCCCACTCTGGCGTAACAGCCCCCCAATGGAGCTTAATCCTCTTTAATTCTTCCGGCGGAAACCTCCCAGTAGTTGCCTCCTAATGCATACTAAAAGGCTCACCAGAAGGGTTGAAAGCGAGCTTGTGCGGGGGACGATGGGCGGACGGCGCTGCAACCACGGGCAGAGAGATGTGCTCTCGGTTTCGGCGGCACTCGCAGTCTACGAGGACTGCTTGAGCCTCTGTTCGAACGGTTCTGAAGTTGCAGGTCGTTGCCAGCTTGACATTGGTTGCCCACGGCAGAGTCACCACGGCCCCTCGTAAGCGGAAGGTTGGCGGTGGGGTTGCCAATTCCAGAAAGCTTCATGAGTATCCAAAGCCTACCGCTGAGTTTTGCCTTGCTTTATCTCGGGTCTCGAACAGGTTGATCTTCAGTATCGTTTAACCGTTCCCCATCCCCATTCCCATCCCCATCCAGACCCCACCATCTCATCCCCCAGTTGGGGATGTACCTTCGCGAAATCTAACCGAAACTGTTTACACCCCCATCGAGGGGGGTTAAGCCGGCCAGTGGGGCCCAGGCCACGCGAGTTGGGATAGGAATCGGTGAAACGGTGAAGCGATGCTCAGATCTAGGGATGTTGTTGTTTGCATGCGAGGCGTGAAAGTCAAACGCAACCGTGAGCGTTTTGTCGGCGTCACCCCAAGAAACTTACTATGTGTGTGTCGCCCCCTGGGGGCCGACGCGCGCACCGAGAAATCTTGTAATAGTATATGTATCGTGACGTGCGCTTTCTGGCCACACTGCTCGGGAAAGGATGTACTACAAGATGCGTATACTATATTTTCGGGTCGGACGCGCGCCTCCAGGGAAAACATATAGTACTAGTATGTCTTATACGGTCCCACGGTCACTTAATGTAGGGTCCCTACTTGGT